GGCTCGCGCGCCCGCCCCCGCCCTGGCCCCCAGCGCCCACCCGGTCGGCCCGGCTCAGCCATGATCAAGGCCATCCTCATCTTCAACAACCACGGGAAGCCGCGGCTCTCCAAGTTCTACCAGCCCTACGTGAGTATCCCGCCGCCGCCGTTTCGGGCGAGGGGGAGTCGTTGGAGGCTGGCAGCTTCCTCGCGGAGACCCCCTGGGCGCGCCGCGGCCCTTCTCGCGCCCCGGCAGCCTCGCGCTCCCGGGCTGTCAGCCGCGGGGGTCGGGGTGTGAGCCGGATGCCCACCCCCCGCCGCGCCCCCCGCCTCCGACGTGGCTTTGCCTGGGCGGCTCCTCTTCGGTCCGTGGACTGACCGGTTGCCAGGCTGGCGGGCGCGGCCCTGGGGACTTCCCGGTGCGGGTTCCTCGCCCGTCGGGCAGCTGCTGCCCACCCGCGCCCGCCAACTCCGGGCGCTGTCGCTTGGGCGCTGCGGGCGCCCCGGGCAGCCGCCGAGGGAGGCGGTCGCGCAGCCCCACCTCCCCAGCTCCAGCCTTGCCCGGGGGGCTCCTTTCTCCTCCGGTGGGCAGATGGGCCCCCCTTTTCCCTGGGCATCCTCGGCGTCGCGCAGGAACTTTGGCTCCCCGCGTTTCCAGAACTGCTCGTCCAGGGCCGTCAATGCTGCGGGCGACAAGGGGCGACCCACAGCGCCCGCGTGACTTTCAGGTGTCTCCTTAGGAGAGGAAGAGATAAGTGGGGACCTCAGGCTTGTCTCGGGCTTTTCCCCTAGCGGCTGTCATTTATTTACTCCCGCAATCACTGGCCACCTTTGCTGCGACGGAGGGCAGCTGTGACTCGACCTGAAAGTTAGGTTTGCAGAGGCTGCTGTGGCATTTTTCTGTGTAAGGGGTTTGCCGTCGGTTGTCGTTGTTCATTGACTTCGGAAGGAAGAATAAGCGTCGGAAGCTCTTTTAGAAGGGGAAATGTTGCAGGAGATTTGGAGGTAGTAAAAATCAGTCTTTTATTCATGATCGATAGGGGGCTGACACTGAATTGGCCACGAGGAAAACCCCATACAATTGAGCTCTCGGCAGGAGGATTAATGTGGACGAATCACCCCTGTGTGGAATTGGGACATTTTGCTTCTAACCAAACAGTAGGTGTCTTGACTTTCAGTGAAATACTGAAATTGGACCAAGTTCCCAGATGAGAATCATTTCTGCCATTAAAAATTAATTGTGAAAATGTCACTTTGCTTGCGATAATGCAATCCGGAGGTGTTAGTTCAAGTGGGAAATCGTGAGCTTTTCCCTCAGTCCTTTTAGTTTTGTTTTAACTAGCAATCAACGAATATTTTCTGGCACGGTTTGGCTTTGACCTAGTATGATTTAAACATGAGTGCTCTCTTTAAGAATTCTGCATCATTCTTTGATCCAGGATCAAATTCTAGTCGATCATTCTGAATGAAACAAATGCCCTTAACTTTCTATTGCTGCTCGTGCGCCTACGACCTTTTAGTGAAGCAATCTTTCTCTTTATCATTTTGCCTTCCCATCTGTTTTCCGTGTAGAGAAGGTATGTTCCCATAGTGAAACAGGATCCTAAAATGATTTTTCCCATTTCTCTGCTGAAAAAATGTGGTGTTATTCAGAATCATGGATTTCTTAGCTCCTCTATGACATCTGTGTAACCACACCTATGGTGTAGAATTTAAACATATACAGAAAAATGTTTTTAATTAGGAAATCTTGGGGTACATCTTTCTCTTTGTCAACAATGGGAGCAGAAATAGCTTTTACCTTTTCTCAGCAGGTAGCAGTGAAGGTTAATGTGGGGCAAGGCAGTGCTGGCAACACCCGTGTCATTTTTGGCTGTTTCATAAGTGTCAACTGGGGTCGGGGTGGTAGGGTGGAGAAGTGTAAATAGAATCGAGGGGTCTCAGACTGTAGAAATAGGGATGTCAGCAACTGTTTCTTTGTTAGCCCTTTACAAAGTATAAATGGGGTTTTGCCAACTGTCTATTTGTTTTGACATTGAGGGATAATTTTAAGGCTTATTTATTTATATATTTGCTTCCTCTGCTAGATCATAACCTCTCTGAACACAGACAGTTTTTTCATTCCTTTATTCGAGCAGTCAGCTTGTCTGCAAATACTGATTTAATGTTTACCTTGTGCAGACTGTTACTTCAAATCTGGAGATGAACACACATAATTTCTGCTCTTTCAGCAGGGCATAGACAAAGCCACTCAATAGGAGATACTGGATGTCAGCTAGTAATAAGTACTGTGGGGGGAAAAATAAAGCAAGAGAGGGTGATAGGAAGTACAAAGATCAGAATTTAAAGTAGCAAAGTGTAGGTAAGTTCTCAACCAGTAGACTTGAAACAGCTAAGAAGGCCCATTCCAGGCAGAGGGGCAGCATAAGCAGAGGCCTGGAGGGAATGCCTGTTTGAACAACAGACTGTGTGAAGAACCTGGGAAGACTGGCAGGGCAGGAGCAGACTCTCTCAGGGAACTACGGATTGAGACATGTCTGAAATGGGGTTCTCTACCCAGAATGTCCTTTCTTTCCATTGCCACATGTCCAGATTCAATCCTTTTGTCCACGGAGACATCACTTTAGCATTCCCTAGAATCTTTTATCTTGCTGTAACAGTTCTATTAGTTCTTAGGCTTTTACTTTTATGTTTTCACTGTACAGAATTCTATTTCATTGCCTGTACTTCCGTGGGGCATTCTGTGAATTCCTTGAGGAAAGGTATCTGATTTTAAGTATCTCTTAAAAACATTGAGTCTAGATATGGAAAACTCAGTCAGTTTTCACTGAATTCAGGGGAGTCTCTTAGCTTGAGGTAGAGTTTGCACTAGAAGTAGCCTCCAAGTCCCTTTCCAGCTCTTAAATTTTAGTCCTTAAATTTTAGCAGAGGTTGAGGAATAGATAGATACCTTTAGGGCAAAAGTAATGATGAAATAGCTGTTACTTCATTTGTTTCTGTAGAAGTCTGTGGGAAATATATATCCAGGAGACGGACAGTGAGTTTAATTCAGTAAGCGGTATCAAGGTGTATCACAGGTTAATCCTCTGTGCCCTGATAGGATGCTGACATGTGAGTCCAATATTAGTGGTTTGACACTGAGAAGTCTGTAAACTGTGTAACTATTTTTCAGCCAGTTTCTCTTACTGCATTGGATTTCCATTCCTCATTTGTACTTCATCATGCTGTAACAATTTAGATCCTCATCTTTTTAAGAAATTTCTTTTGTCAAGACTGGTGACAAGCAGAGATACGTCATTATCTAATACGAGTGTTGAAGATTATTCGTTTTTGGGGGGGAGGGTTTTACATTTTTGCCCTTGCATATGTGCACGTTCCATTCATCCTCCATAAAAACACCGTATGTTCATCTTTACCCTTCTATCATGCAGCTTTTCATTTCCTGCTGTAATAGATTTTGAAATCTGATTGTGCCTCCATGCTGTTACTATGTGAAACTTTTGCTAAACTGAAATCTTTGGTTCATACTGCCAGAGTCAGGCATCAGGAACAATTCAAGCAGACTCAGTGCAGCCTCTTTTATTTTGCTGTCTGTATCCTTAAGCTGTAACTGCAGAAGTTCAAATGCTTTTCTTAGTTCGCTTGTCTCTTTAATTGATACCGAGCCTCAGCAACTTGGGGACAGTAAAACTTTCCTCTTTTTATATATGCCTGGCAGTCTTTGTATATTAAATGACTGAGGCTTGTACTTCATAAGCCAGATACATTTTTACATACCCATCAAACAAAAAGGCCCGGGGGTTATGACTCCTGTGTTATTAATGAACTGTGGCATATTCTTGAGTGGATCACTTTAAAGTAGTACTTTTTTTTCCTTTTATATAAATTGTCTTAGTTTTTTCCACAGATTAAAAAATTGTATATATGCATGCATATGTACACACACCACACAAAATGCAAACAGGTAAGTTTTTAAAACGTTACCTGCATGAATTGTTAACATTTTCTTATACGCTGTGTCTGATTATTACTATAACTAAATGCAAGCTCTAGAAGAAACTCTGAATTTTTTTCTTTCCTTTTTTGACTTAAAACTTTTATTTCCTTATTTCCTTTTTGACCTTTTTACATATAGCTTTTTCTTTACTTTTTTAAAAAGTCCCTCAGAAAAACGCACCCATGTTTATTGTTGTCTTTTTTTAGTGACTAGTAAGAAAATGTGGCAGATGGGATAAACTTATTTCTTTGAAAAAGCTGCAATTGTCAACAGTTCTAAGTATTAATTAAGGTGTTAACATATATTAACACAGTATTTGAGCTGTCTTGTTAAGAAACTAATTCCAAGTGATTTTATCTCCTTTCATATTGGTTAAGGTACTTTTGGCTACATAAATTGGATTTCATGTAGGTTTTTTTCCAAATCTACCTAAAAAGAACTATGCTAGAATATATCGTAGGAAGTGTAAAGTAATAGACACATTCAGCAAATCAGCAAAACACCCAGTTTCTGTTTCTTTCTTGCCTCACAAAGCTGGTGTCAGAGGCTGATTTCCTTCTGGACACCAGTGGTGATCAGCCCACAAGGAAGTCCCTGCAGTCCCTGACTGTCTTTTTCTTCAGTCTGGTTAGTGGTACCCAAGACCCTTAAAGCTGCCATAACCATGATCCTTTGGAGCTGAGAAGACAGAAAACATGGATAAAGTTGATATTTTTTTGAAGGGGTGGAGGAGAGAAGTAGATGTTGGGTGAGCAGCCAAGGGCCCACTATTCTACTCTGTTAAACTCTCACATTATTTCTTTTGGATAGATAATAATTTTTCTTACCTGTGATTTTATTACTCCTGAGCTTGTTGATACCAGCTCTTGATAATATATGATCTGAGTATGTGTCCGAAAGTTATTATTTCAGGGTATTTCTTATATATCAAGAATCATTAAAAAATTTCACTCATAATATGATCATAAATTTCTTATGTAGTATGCTTGAGGACTACTCTAAAAGTATATTAAACAGGACCCTTGCTGGTGGCTCTGTGCGTTAGGACGCAGCACTGCAAGCTGGCCATATCCGCTTCAGTGAGAGTTTGATCCCGCCCTGGAGCTGACCCACATGGCGCCACAGATCTCTCCTGACCCGCCTGCTGCTCC